TTGCGACGCATTAGATGATTACGTAAAATTTTAGCCACCCCGATCAATGATGTAATTGGTTTCGTCCAATGGAAAATTATATTTGTATTCATCCAATGGGAAGTGGTGGGGGAAATTAGTAAACCCGAGATAATATAAAGAATTTACTATGATATCAGCATTTCGTGCGAGATGCACATCTCTAGTACATCTTCAAAAATTACAATCAATATCATATTTACATAATTAAATTCTTAATAAAACATGCTTAGTAAAATTTTCACAATCAATAGAATTCATAGAACCCTCTTGAATACAATACGAAAGACCATTAATACACAATGCACCTTCTATGGTGAATCATCTTAAACAAAAAATGTGTATTTTTGAGCACACAATCCTCGTAATGGTGTTTTTCTGTTGTAAGCAGTTTTATCTGAAAAAACTGACTTGGTGCATACTAAGACATTCGTAAAATGAAATGGTTCTATCAACTTCATTTCTTTCTTTTGCGAGTTTTGAAATCTATGGAATAAAATTGTTAATAATTGATAAAATAAAAATATGTTGTGTGTAGTGTTGGCAAGCGAAACTATTTTAGGCACATGGCGAAAGGCGAAACTAAACCCGGTGAAAGACAAAACCGGGCGAAACTCTGGCGAAACGGCAAAACTCTGATGAAACGGCGAAACTCTGGCGAAACCTCTGGTAAAATTGAAACCCCTGGAAAAGTCAAAACTCGGCGAAGTTTAAATCCCCTAAGACTTTAGAAAAGACTGAGCCATGTTAGTAAATCAATTATTGGATTAGTACTACAAATCGATCGAAAAGTTGACAACTAATCGATTGAAAAATTTTTGGCAACTCATATTAAAATCGAATAAAAATCGAATAAAAATTAATATTCGAAAAGTTGACAACTAATCGATTGCAAAATTTTTGGCAATTTGTAGCACTATATTGGATAACGATAAATATATACAGTACACGATACTCTTATTATCGTGCATTATTTTGATTGGCTAATTTCATCGATCATTATTACTTTTTTTAAGGTTAGGGATAAATCTAAAAATGTATTTAAATTTTCCAACATCCATATGCAAAATTTTACGTTGAACATCTTTACTTAAAAGCAAAAGAATGGGATATTTACATTTTTCATTTTTTTTATATTATTTTTTCGCTTCCGTTCAGCACAATATTTTGCGTATAGATGTATAAAAATTATTTATACGTATCTAATTTTTATATTATTAGTAAAAATATGAAAAAATATTTTTTTTATTAGCTATGATCGACAAAATTAGCCAATCAAATTGATGCGCGATAAATAAGAGTATCGCGTTATGCGATGCCTAATTAAGTCCTTATAAAATAAAATTAATTATATAAAAAAGTTTTTTAATGATCTTTAATTACCTTTTCATTCTTGCTTTTTTTATTAATTTTACTATCTTTCACTAGTTTGTTATCTTTTTTTAGTTTCGCCACCTTTCGCCATTTTGCCATTTTAATTTTTTTTTGGCGAAAGTCGAAACTAGGTTTCGCCATTCGTCTGTGGCGAAACTTCTAAGTTTCACCTGCCAACACTAGTTGTGTGTATATCCAAGTCAGTATATAACCCTCCAAACTGTTGTAATGTCCTAACCAGAGTTCCATCTCGGATTGTAATTTATATAGGTATCAATCAGGTTTTTCTTTCATAAAGTTTTAAGATATTTTATATCGTTCATGTTTAGAGAACGTGGTTTTCTTGAAAGCGATACAGCAATGTCTTTGAAAATGCACAGGAACCCGACTTATAGAAGACCTGCTAACACCTGAGTGTTTGCAATTTTTCGAATAATAGGCCTTTTAAATTTTTTCAACAATTTGTCAACGAATGTGCTTTGAAAATATCATATTTTTTGAATTCAACAAGAGATACGCATAATATTATTGTATATTAGTCACCTGATATTATACATATTATATCAATTTTATTGAATTATAGCTGTTTTCATAAATTCTATATTAATATGTTCAATTTATTATTCTAGTTAAATTCGAGGTCAATTAAAGAATAAAAATAATTATAATTTTTTTATTCTGCCCAGATTATTTTGCTATTATATCGATCTTTTTAATTTCCATATTTTCTTCTAAAAATAACATATGTAGCAATCAACATTGTTAAACACATTACACCAGTAGATACTCCAATAATTATGTTTTGGTAATTAAAACTGGTAGTTGAGTTATTTGTAATGATTTGAGAGCTATTTGAAATAAATTCAGTAACCCACTTGTAAGAATTAGTTTGGCTTACATCTAGTACGTATATATAACCAGAATCGTTACCTATTAAATAAAATAAAAAGCTTAATATAACATTTAAATACAAATATTACATATGATCAGGCATAATAAAATTTTAATATTTTACCAAATGCAACAAACATATAATTATCCATTAATGATGCAGTATGTTTAGAAAGATTTCGTGGACCTATACTTGGATTAATAATATTTCCAATTGACCATTGATACGTTGATATATTCAAGATCCATAAGTCACCAAAATTTCTATTATTATCATCGCCACCGAATATTATAATTCGTTTATCAGACGCTATATAGTTTAAATAATTAAAATAATTAGTAGAATAAGATCTTAAATTACACTTAATATTAAAAAACAAGGATTTCTATTTGTAGCCGGGGTATGATACCTGGTATAAGAGAAAAATCAAAAATCATTAATATTTCAAATTATTATTAAGAAAACTAACTTAGTGGCCTTAAATTAAAAACGTATCAACACTTAATTTTACATATAAATACATCTTTAACCCTAACTGCTAACTTTATAAGTCGTATTTTCCCCTCATACCAGGTATCATACCCTACGGGTAAATTTAGAAAAAATTTAAAATTACATACTTAATACAGCAGAAAAAAATTCACGACAAGGAGGAGTTGGGCCTGATGTAAACTAAAAATATCAAACGTTCATTGAATATTGGTCATGTTAGAACGTGATTTCAGTTTATTTATAACATACGATGTAATTCCAGGCGTCAGACTTTGTATTATATAAAGATAGCTAAAATAAAATAACCATGTGAATAATAACTAACAATTAAAATCAAATTTATGAAAATTACACATACATTATTCATTGGCACATATAATGATGAATTAGAAATGTGTCCACCAATATATAAAATATTTTCATCTGATAAAGTTATGACACAATAACCATACTGGGGTACTGGTGCATTAGTTGAATTACTTAAAATCCAGGATAAGGTTAGGGTATTGAATATCCAAAGATCATTCGTAATAAATGAGGAATTAATATTGCCACTAAAAATAGCAATCATTCCTTTACCAAATTTTGCACATGAAATATCAAATCTATTTGCGGGTACATTTCCTCTAGGTATAATATTATTCCATTGTAACTTTGATATTTTAAATTGATTTACAAAAATTTGATAAGGGGTTCCACCAATTAAAAAAATTTCATCGTCATTAATTCCACCGATACATGCAGACACTTCAGATTTTACAACAGTATAAGTAAGATCAACCAATGGTAATGAGGAAAAGTCGGTTAGTGTAAATGATTTAGAAAGATCTAAATAGGAAAAATCGTTGTTTACAACGCCCATACTAAGTACACCGCCTTCAAAATAAAGTTTTTTATCAACAAGGATTGAAGCATGCCAATATCTTGGATTCGCAACAAGCTGAGTAGTAAAATCTAGAAAAAAAACAATAATAATAACTAGTATTTGCATATTTGTGTAACTTTGTCGTCTAATTTGATAATTTAACATAAATGTAGGTTTTAATTTGAATATTTTATATCAAAAACTGTGGGTTCTGAAACGAATGCATAAAATATCAGAATATTGACGTGTTAAATTATTTACTGATTACACAATTCGGGAATTTAAATAAATTTTGGGTCGGTTAAAATCGGAGTTAATTCAATGTGATCTACATACTGCATAAGTTACATTCTTTTTTGACTGTAAAAATGAACAAAAGTAATGCAGCACATGAATTGAAATAAAGCTTGTGTCACTGTAAAATTTAGTTCATTAATTTTTTAAAAAAATTTTATTTGTGAGTGATGCTATTTACGAATGTATTAAAAGAATAAAAATAAAAATCGGTCACGAATTGCGCGAGATAATACAATCTAACGATTTTTTTTTTATAATTTATGATCGCAAGTGTACATTTGTCTGATATCATTATTCTCAGGAGTCACTATTTTTATATACGAGATCTGGTGCGATCATTGAAGCACCCCCAATAGACTCAATAAAGAATCTGATTGGTCTACCTGATCCAACTATCCATCAGATTCTTTATCAAATTCGTTGAAAAGATACTTGAGAGCGCTTTTGATCGGGATCCATATTATGTACCGTATTTTCGCGTAATAACGCGCAGGGGTGTAATTTCAAAATTTGGCCCAAATTAAGCTTAATTCGGGCCATTATTCGAAATAACGCTCATGAGCGTTATTACGCGAAAATACGGTATTTGCACTTTTCTCCAAATTCGATCGTGATTACGCTGTTTAATTTGCCCATCACAGCTATTCAAATTTTAATACGTAAAGTAAAATAATAATTTATTTGCATTGATACTTATCATTACGTAATAACAAAATATTTAGGGAGCGCCTATTTCCACTATTGGCCGTAACAATGTTCATCATGTATATACAGCTAAAAGTCATGTAAAAACATGGTGGAAATAGGCGCTCCCCAAATTTAATAAATTATAACAAATGGAGTAATAATGATTATAAATTTAAGATTCGAAGTATGAAACACTGAAATATGAAAGTAATATTATAATTACACCAAATTCGGGACTGAGGTTTTAAGTCAATGCTTCAAAACATTTATAAAATTTATTAGAATAAATACTCTATTCTATAGAATCATTATTGTTTTTTTTTTTTTGTAACTTTTTAAGTTCATTTCCGCCTAAATTTTAAGATTATTAATGATGTGATAAATAAGCTAACAATTGTATGCATTTATAAATTTATTTGACAAAAATTAATTAATAATTACCTTAGAAATAAAAAAAGGGTTGATTCTTTTTTACGTTTATTCAATTTGCTTAATTTCTTTTGAGAATCTTCGTGTCCATTATCTGCTGCTTTTTTATACCATTCTTTTGCCAATTCTATATCTTTTGTCACGCTTATTCCCTTCTCATATCATCTAGCAACATTACTTTGTCCAGATAAAATATTGTGCTCGGCTGCAATCTGGTAATGCTTGAATGCTTCATCTTTATTCTTTTTCGTGAATATTCCAAGCTCATAACAACTTCCTAAATTATTACATGCTGAAATACAACCATTTTCATACGATTTATTAAAGCAATAAAATGCTTTTTGTTTATTCCTTTTAATTCCCTTTCCAGTCAAATAGCAAAGTCCTAAACAATTGTAAGATCTTGGAAATTCAGTGCTTGCTTTTTCATGGTAAAATACAACCTTTTTAGGTCTTTATTAGTTCCACAACCATTTTCAAAACATTCACCAAGATAAAATTTTCCTATTGCATCGTTTCCGTGTGCTACCTTTTTAAAAATTTCGAATGCAGTATCGGGATATGCATCAGTTCCAATCCCCATCAAATAAAAAAATCCAAAAAGGCATTGTAAATTTAAATTAAGATTTGATGATTCATGAAGAAAAGTAAATATCTTTTTCTCATCTCGCTTATGCATTTTTATAATTTTTTTTATTCTATCTGAAATTTGTGAAATTCATATCCAAGTTCTGTTAATTTTGAAAAATCTTTCCATAAATCACTTATTAAGTCTTCATAACCATCTTAGCAGAAACCTGAATTTTTGCCATTTATGATTATCATATGATAGTTATATAACTATTATATGATAAAAATATGATAAAAATATTTTAATAAAAAAAATATAATAAATATATGATAAACATATATTAAAAGTATTATTATAATATTTTAAACATATATTTGTAATTCTGTTAAGTCACTATTAACGTGATTAATACCATATATTTATAATATAATTATAATATAAGTATAATCTAATATTATCTTTTTATTATCTAATAACAATCTAATAACAATCTAATAGTAATCTAATAAAATAATATTTTAATAATATTTTAATAATATAATAATAATCTGCTTAAAATAATTAAATAATATTTTTAATATCTAACCGATTTTATATATATATATATATTAAATATATGATTAACAGGTGATTCTAAGATATTTAATAGATATTTACTTTATTACAAAAAGATATAGTTAGAAACATTATCATATAATAAACATATTATTAACAGATGATTTTGAGATATTTAACAGATATTTAACAGATATTAAACATACCAAAAAAAATGGATTTTGGGTCAAAATCCCGAACAATGGATCCTCGAAAGAACGTAATACCGACAAAGTTAGCTGGCACTAGCCATAACGCTGGCCAATTTAGTCAGTATTATGTTCTTTCGAAAATCTGTTGTTTGGGATTTTGACCCAAAATCAAAAAAATGGGCCGCAGTCAAATATAAATCAGGTAGATAGACATTTTTAAAAAATTAATATCTTAACTTTACAGCTCATATCTTGATGAATTTCAAAGTTATCTTGATGCATCAATAGTCAAATGAAAGTTTAGATCTTAAGCTTTATTCTGACTATTAAA